TTAAGCATTTGGAGAATGCGTGGTACTAACCCATCGGGATTAAAGGCCTCCTTGGCAAGAGGGTCCTTGTGTTTGGTGTCAATGACTGGGAAAATGGCCAAACCTGAAATGCCCAGTTCATTGGCCTCGTGGGCTATCGATAACAACTTATCTAGGCTATATCGAAATTGATTGGGCATGGCGTGAATCGGCTCTTGAATGCCGTGGCCCTCGCGCACAAAAACAGGGTAGATGAGGTCGCTTGGTGATAACGCACTTTCGGAAATCAATTGGCGAATCGTTGCATTTTTACGCAACCTGCGCATTCGTGTTAAAGGAAACTTTTGATCAAACATGGCAGATAAGTGTCGTGGTAGAGTGTTGATTAAATATACAAAACAATAATGTCTAAAAGATGTTTTTACGGATTGACATCTTAACGCAAATCCGATACCATCCACCTTGCGGTTTAACGACCGCAGCTCGCTTAGCCTCCCTGAGTGAGTTATATTTGCCTTGGATTTTAACAAATCCAAGGCTTTTTTACGTCAAATGACGTGTTATTTCTACTGAAGCATTGACCTTTGTTGTCCTAGGATAGCATGGCTGGTTAACTGACTAGCGCTGACAGCTTCATCAACAAAGGTATAAACTTCTGGGGGAATTTCGTACGGGTTGTCTAAAAATGTTTGATCACGTCCCAAACGTACAATCACCAAATTTTTGGAAGGGACGATAATGGTGTATTGCCCCAAAAACCCATATAAAAAATAAAAAGGATGTTTGTACTGGTAATCCATCCAGAGCGAATGACCATAAAATGGCTCCAAGTCTGGCGTTATCATCTCCTTAATAAATTCGGGTTTAAACAGTTGACGACCTTGCCATTGCCCATTTTGCAACAATAGCTGACCAATTTTGGCGAAATTGTGAGCGGAGGTAAATAAACAACAGTATGTTTTTTCAATACCTTGCTCTCGATCTAAGGTGAAATAAGCATCCCCTTCCATGCCCAAAGGCTTCCAAATTTTGTCAGATAGATATTGTGAGACGGTTGCATTGGGATCTCGGCGTTTTAAAGCGCGATCAAGGATGATGCCCAGTAACTGGGTAGAGGCACTGCTATATTCGAAGGCTGTTCCTGGTTCTCTTTCAAAATCACGACCTAACACAACTTGACTGGCGTCTTTACCATAGTATAAGTGTGGCATAGGGTGAATTGGAAAAAAATACTCTTCATCCCAATCGTGTCCAGCACTCATGGCAGATAATTGAGCTATCGTGGCTTTACGCGCGCGTGGGTTATTTTCGTATTCGGGAAGGAAGTCGACAATAGGTTCGTTAAAACTTTTAATGAAACCATCATCAATAGCTGCACCAATAAGCAAGGTCGTGACTGTTTTTGCCATCGAGAATGAATTGGTTCGGCTCAACGGAGAGTAACCATCAAAATAATATTCTTGTAATAATTTCCCATCTTGAGCAACAAGATAAGCGCTGGTTTTGTGTGACTTGAACTCTTGTGCCAATGCTACAGAAATGGGTGCCTGATTGTAGCGGGGGTCTTTTTTCCATGTTTGCGGCAACCCTGCAGCAATTTTACGTTGCGCAAACTCGGTACCATCATCAATATTAGCAGTCGTGTGTCCTTGCAGGTAAGTAGAGTTAAGGGCTTTGAATATATATTGATTTCCTGTTAAATACAATAAGCTGGAAACAACTAAAACAACAGCGCCTACGCCTTTTATGATTTTTAATGTTTTTGCCATAAGGCTTCTCCACGAGTCAGTTGCAAAAAGTATGGATAGACATACAAAAAATTACTTTATGAAGAAATAAATTGTAATTCTAAATATCCATGTTTTCAAAGCAGATTGATATTGGTTGACAGAGGAACAAATTCGAACGATGCCTACTGGTTTTTAATCGTTGTTTTGACACTCGTAGATTATTGATTCGTAAGCTACGCATATTCTAAACTGATTTGAAGAGTCGCGCTGTGACAATTGAAATGAGCTAGTTTTTTTGTTCTAAATTACCAAGCCCCCTCAAATAGTTATGAATAGCCGTTTATAACCGCCGAAAATAAATATTTATTTTGCATAAAAGTGGATTTAATAGCAAAAAAAGTGTAATTTTGTGTAATTTATTGCCAGAATTCGAGTAGAATGACAATGAGTTGATAGTGGGTTGGTATACCCACGGTAGGAGAATTATTAAAATTTACTTAAATATTATTGAGTTAAGTTGGCTACGTTATGTTTCAAGGTTGCTCTGAACTTACTTTAGACGCAAAAGGGCGTTTTGCGATCCCGACCAAGTGGCGGGA